TAAGTTACAGTATTGATTTATAGTATTGCATGCTCTTACTACTGTATTCCACTACTAGACAATACAAAGATATGCTTAAAATCTAAGCTATGAATTTCACAACACGTTTTCTGAACAGAAAAAGACATTTCACCTTTAGTCAGGGAAACCAAACTGTGATATATAGGAGACTTGTAGAAACAAAGCACATAATTCAATCCTTTTCCAAGAGCAATGGACCGAAAATGACCATTTCCCCCCTGCACACTGCTGAAATCAGTGGAAAAATCCAGTTATGCCTTTATAAAGTAGCTCTCATGTTCCCTGCAAAGTCCGTCCTGGGAGTGTGACTTCACCGATTTAGTCAAAGTTAAGTGTATTCACTTGCCAGATGAGTGAATTGTAACTCCAGAGTTGGAGGCCTACTACAGAAATATACCTCAAATCCTGCTCACTGACACAAATGAAATGAAAACAACTAGAATAACTGCACACAGTTGGGGAAATGCACATAAATCCACTAAACACGCTCAAGACTTAGATGAACTATTTCCATTGGAGAAAAGATCAAACTTCTCTGTCACATACTCTGTCTCTATTACGGTTTCTCTCGTTCCCTCCCTCCTTCTCCCACACAGAAAGGCTTTGGGAACATAGATGGAGAGCACTGGCTGGGTTTGGAGAACATCTATAATCTAGCCAAGCAGGGGGACTACAAATTGCTGGTGGAGCTGGAGGACTGGGTTGGAAAGAAAGTGTACGCAGAGTACAGCAGCTTCCATCTGGAGTCTGAGAGTGAGGCCTTCAGGCTGAGACTGGGCACCTACCAGGGCAATGCCGGAGACTCCCTCACAAGCCACAATGGAAAACCCTTCACAACGCTTGACCGGGATAAAGACGCCTTTACAGGTTAGATGCTAACAGCCAGTTAAAACAGGACAATTGCTGAAGAAAATGGCAAACTGTCCATAGCTATAAGGGTTGGGTAAAATTCAGAATGTAAGAATTGTTTGGTCCTGTTTAAACCTGTTTCTGGTTGCTTAAAAAGTTTAGACTAGTATTAAAAGTTAGTCATCTATTTCAAATCGGTTCCAACAAGATCGAAAGCTTCTAAAGTGTTCTATCATTCCAACTCAATGCATTCTCTTGTCCATCTTCTTCTATGCCAGGCAACTGTGCTCATTTCCACAAAGGTGGCTGGTGGTACAACGCGTGTGGTCAAACGAATCTGAACGGCGTGTGGTACTCCGGCGGTGTGTATCGCAGCAAGTTCCAGGATGGGATCTTCTGGGCAGAGTATGGAGGCGGGTTCTACTCGCTCAAATCAATCCGTATGATGATCCGGCCAATAGACTGAGGTTCACCTCAGGACCTCACCCGCTTACCAAACCCCACTACCCGAGTCTAAATTGCTTGAATGTACTCATAATTCACTTCAGCACTTATTTATAATCACACATTCATGTTTATGAGGACTGACATGTATAGCACAGTATAGTCGTCATTGGTACAGCACCGATACAAATCCTGAAAAGGAGGAGTGGAAGGATATGCGTTTCTCCAGACTTGTACACCAATGTCCTTTGGTCCATCCAAATGTAGAGAAGACGACCTAGTAAGAACTAGAAGTTGGACCACAACATGGTCAACTTTAGCATTTCCTGCTCTTCTCCAACTCCTACATTTTTCTTCACTGCTGTCCATTCCTTCGGACTCTTCCTCACTGCCTGGGGACTGATGCCATCCAATCCCCAATCATAGGTTTTTAATCAAAGATCTTCACAACTAACCAGATTTTGGCCTCTGGCTTTGGAGGGGTGTCTGTAACAATAAGGACTGGCACTGGGCTGAACTGTTCGCCAGCCCCGTCTGCATTCGGGGGTAATGTTGGTCTGTAAATATACTTTGTTTTATATTTGTTCATTTTTGTAAGAGTTAATTTAAGGACTATCCGCAGTAATCATTTGTTATTTATATATCAGTGATCTGTATTTATGACAGTTATAATCCTCCAATCATCTATTATGATGTACCATTGTGCTTTTGACAAACGTTTGTATACTTTTACCAACAGAGAGAGAATATTACATTTGACTCTAGGGTTGTAATAACCATGGGTACTGAGAGGGACATGTCTCCCAAAATCCATCTTAGAGGTCAATAAGTATGCATTTTTCATAACTAAATCTTAAATTCAGTGTTATTTTCTTTATAATATGACATTTTCAATTGAAACAAGATATTCAGACAAAAAATTCAGGGGTGAACTAGTTTTCATTTACTGGGAGTTTTTTAAAAGTGGATGTTAAATACCATATTAGAGCCAAACCAAATGCTAATTTGTTAAAAGGGTCGTCAAGATTATTGAATACCCTGTGCAGCCTAAATGATGTCAGAGATATAGTTGTTTCAGAGCAAAATGAGCAAATCAATACATTTTAAATTAAAGATTCAGAATTTAGAAATTGGCCTCCTTTTAATTAATGAATTTGATTTTGAATTTGAAGTTAAAGGCACAATATGTAATACAAAACAAAACCGGAAATCGAGGGTGCATGACGTCATTGGCAGGCGACAAAACGACACTATAGACACGGTCCGTGTCACTGGTTAAAATTGCTTATTTCTCTGGATTTAAACATTCTTCGAAACATTTGGGATAATGTAAGTACACAAGTCAGCAAAATATATAACACTGTTCTAGTGGTTTTTGGATATTTTAATTAAAAAAATCGTACATATTGTGCCTTTCATTGGTCGTACCAAACAGAAAGTGAATTGGAATTAAAGGAAGTGGAATTTATTTATTTTTTTAACTAATTAATTATAAATAAGTATAAATATTTGTCTGTAAGGCCTATAAATACCAGAGAAGGCCAAGATACTTTTTTTAATAACTTTTAGAAATGGCTTTACCAAGTCTTTTTTCTTTTGAATAATTATGAAAATAAAAGGGGTCAGTTTTGATTTTTCTTTTGGTCATTCAATCTTCAATATTTGGTTACACCACTGACTGGCTCACAAACACACATGCAAAACCAGAAGAAGAAAGAAAACAAACTTTGAACTTTGTAGAACTGTTGAGTTTATGCAAGACTTCCTTCATAAACATACGCATATACAGACACAAACACACTCGTCTCTGTAGTCTCTGATGGACTCCATTGAAAGGGGGCAGACACACTTATGCCTGAATGTAATTTTGGTACGAACTACGAACTAAGATTTTGTGTAAATTATCTCTGATTCCACTCTTAACGCTGCTCCAAAACTGAATAAAACAGCGTCCAAAAGTCTGAGTAAAACTTTTTTGCCCAGTATATATGGAGTCACAGCTGGTTTTTCAATTACACAACAGATTTTTCTGCAATATGAGCAGGAGTATGTATGTGTGTGAGTGAGTGTTTGAGACAACAGAGATTTCATGTCAAAAGTATGCACACATGTGAAAATGGGAGGACTACAGCACATAGAGACAATGAAAAACACATTTCTGCCGTCCAGTCACGAATGCAGGCGAGAGAGACCGAGACGAGAGAGAGAAAGAGAGGGATCCAGAGGGAGGGAGAGAGAGATGGAGACAAAAGAGCAAGACATTCCTTCCATATAAAGTGCTTAGGTTACAGCTCCACAAAAGTGTATCTCATAAAAGTTATGCCTCCCTGTTCCCGGCTTCCCCAGCGGGACTATCTTTCAAAACGTCCTCGATCACTCACAGCCAAGCATCTAATTCTTTCGGGAGAACACTGACACATGCGCTCATAGAGGAGAGAAAGACACAGGCAGATGAAGTTTTGTGCGCGGCCTGCGCTCTAACATGTTCTTCTAAAGAGCTTCCGTCTGTTTCACAGCATGCATCTCCCTATGGGACACAGATCACAGGCTTCACACTTTCACGCACGTGGCACATCAGAGTAAATACTCAAACTTAGACAACAAGTGCAGTCCGGCCATAAACTTGTTTTTTTGTCTCGTAAAAGTTTTTGTTGGATAGAGACTGATGACCGCTAAAATCATCAGCTGTGAAAGTGGTAAATTTAAGTTTTGGCACGTCACGGGCTGTTAGCTTCTAAAATGCCATTGCACTGACAACGATTCTTTACTAAACGATTCAATGAATCATGCAATATAAATTCTGGTCATGATTGGGCTTGATCCAGTTCAGGGTTATCATCATATCAACTTTAAAATGATCGAAATATTATATTAATATTATAATCATATTAATAGTACATAAATCATACTAAAACACCACCAATCCAATTTTATTTTGATGTGATTAATCACATTTAAATAATATTTATTCATTTAGTTGAGATGTTTTTCATAAAAACATAACGACTAAAAATTAAACAAATGAAATTGAAAACTGAAAATATAAAATAAAAAATAAAAGTTAATTTAAAAAAATATTTTGATGTGATCACTTTAAACTTAGACAACAAGTGCAGTCCGGCCATAAACTTGTTTTTTTGTCTCGTAAAAGTTTTTGTTGGATAGAGACTGATGACCGCTAAAATCATCAGCTGTGAAAGTGGTAAATTTAAGTTTTGGCACGTCACGGGCTGTTAGCTTCTAAAATGCCATTGCACTGACAACGATTCTTTACTAAACGATTCAATGAATCATGCAATATAAATTCTGGTCATGATTGGGCTTGATCCAGTTCAGGGTTATCATCATATCAACTTTAAAATGATCGAAATATTATATTAATATTATAATCATATTAATAGTACATAAATCATACTAAAACACCACCAATCCAATTTTATTTTGATGTGATTAATCACATTTAAATAATATTTATTCATTTAGTTGAGATGTTTTTCATAAAAACATAACGACTAAAAATTAAACAAATGAAATTGAAAACTGAAAATATAAAATAAAAAATAAAAGTTAATTTAAAAAAATATTTTGATGTGATCACTTTATTTATTTATTTATTTATTCCTGAAATGTTTTTCAAATTTTACAACTGATTCACAACTGTACCACTGAAAACAGGTCCTGAACAGACATGAATGTGCAATTATTACGAAAGGGTATTACTATAGTTATTATGATTCGTTCTTTAATAATGCATTCAATTAAATTTTTTTAATTGCTAGATCAATGTTTAAAAGTCTCCAACAGTATCAGCTGACCCCATGTGAACTTTGCAGTATATGGGTTGATAGGTCATGACTACACCGCGTTATGTACGAGAAGCTGCAGAAGACACAGGCGCAAGTGGAATGCAAAAAAAAGCATGGTGACATTAATTTTTAAGTAAATATAATAGGCGATATGTTGCGTCACCATAAATTATTGAGGTCATGTACATATATTGCGCGATAAGTCGATATATTGATTATTGCGACAGGCCTATTGATAGGAGTTCCAGACAGTGTCTCTGCAGGGGGTGCTGGCATTACATGTGTGTGTGTGTGTGTGTGTGTGTGTTGTGGTTGTTGGCGGCCGGTGGAAGAACTGAGTACCTGTCAGCATCCAATCCAAAAGAAAACAAAGATATTACAACCGTTTAGACGAGAAAGGTCAGATTACGCACACACGATTACTTATCTAAATGAAGACCACAGCCATCTGTTTTTTTATTTTTATGCTAATTGTGAACACTGCAAACTAACCTTAAACCCAAACTGCATTTTTTAAATAAACACAACATTATTTAAATGTATTTATCAGTCATTTGTTGCCAGATATTACCAATAGGAAGCCGTGTCAGATTGCTTCTGGGGACATTTCCTCAAAGTACACACACAATTCAGAGTGACAATGGTTTAGATCAGTGAGTATTCACAAGTCCCACAGACTCAGTCCAAGCATGCGCACACACGCACACACACCTATGTGCATCCAGCTGGAAGCTTCAGTCTAACCCAGCGTTTTCAGTAGGGAAATCCTGTTATTACAAAACAGACAAACCATTTGGACACTGACCCGATCCTTTACCTCATCTTCCTCTCAATAGCCTTCCAGCCAGTTTTTCTCACATTCAGACTGAGATGAAGCCGTCTGGATGCAGTCAGAGCCCACCCCCCACCTGAGCGCTTTCATAACACACCACAAATCACCGTTTCTGATTGCCAAAGCAGAAGTGAAAAGACCAAAGGGAGAATTCAATTCACCGACAATGAGTTAGCATCATTTATATGCATAGTCTGTGTAGTTTTAGCACCAGACTCACTAAAAGAATTATGAAGATCAGGCACATCATTTGCATGGGACAATGGTACATCTTGCAAGCCAGGTCTGAGTGCTAAGTTGTGAAAGATGCAGCAGGCTGCTACGGTCTGGTGTACTTTTCTGGGACTGTACAACATCATTAATACAAAAAAAAGATAAAAACACAAAAAAACAAAAACAAATCAAAAACCAAAACCAAACAAAACAAAGACATAAAAAAACCCAACACAACAAACAAACCCAAGACAAGATAAAACTAATATTTAAATAAATAAAAAAACAAAACCAAACAAAACCGAGGTGAGATGAAACAACAAAACAATGCAAAATAAAACAAATTAAAAATGAATTAAAAAAACGACACAAAACAAAAATGAAATAAAAAAAACAAATCAAAATCAAACAAAAGAAAATGAAGACATAACATAACAAAACAACCCAACACAACATCAAACAATACCAAGACAAGATAAAACTAATAATTAAATAAATCCAAAACCAAACAAAACCGAGACAAGATGAAACAACACAACAAAACAGAGAGAGGCTCCAACATCCCCAAAACCCTATACAGGATTTAAGAAGAAACTAGATTATTAAAAAAAGAGGGAATTACTATGAAATGATTATGTAATACATATAAAACACCGCTGGGTTGTTAATAATAGCTACACTGCAATATATATGACTACTGTAACATAAAATAACTATTATACAAGATTTTGGTCATACCACTCACCCTTAAAATCCCCCTGTAGTGAAAATCAAGTTTTTATGTTGTTTATTTGTCTATGTGGTGTTTTTAATATGCTTTTAGACAAACCATGTGCCAAGCCATTAATCAACACCATTGCTGAGTATTTTCTCTTTAAAACTGTGGTTTCCCAATGGCAGTCCCAGAAACGCGGTTTGAAACAGCCCTTGGTTTGCTATGTCACAATTCAATAACCAATCACGTCACGGGATAGATTCCTATCACTAGCATGCAAAATATACCAATACCAGCACAAAACCAAAAATAAATTAGAGCAAAAAACCCATGAAGCCGTGGTTTAATGTGAATTTAGAACCGCTAACTTGCATTATTGGAAAAGTAGTCCGGAGTCAGACCCACCTCTCCCGCATCGGGAGAGCACTTCACACGCATTGCTCGCAGGCGCGAATTGGAATCACAAACGGCTGCATTCAGTCTTCAAGGTAATTTAGGACACAACATCGTCAAGTAAGTAACTTTAACGAATGTTACAGTATTCACTGTAGTTGTCCACTAGTAAAAACATAGTTTTATCAGTCATTATCCGTGCATGCCATTGTTTCTTGTTTACTACAGTTCAGTGGATCAGGAGGCGCTGGCTGGTGTGACTGAGTGGAGGCGGGGCTAATTTGCATATTTATAGATCCACGTATAGTAAATGAGGCAAGGGTGTAGAGTTACATTCAAGAAAATTATTTTCACAAGAAAAAACATTTAAATATGTCATTTTGATGATCAAAGATGAGTTTTAAGGGATAAAATATTTGACTACAGGGGGACTTTAAATTATACTGCTGTCAGGTGAAAGGCAGGATCTATGGAAAAGACACTTAATCCATAAAAATCAAGACAGATGGACAGATAAAGGGAGGAGGGGGTAACAGGCGAAAGAACATCCAGCAGGTCAAAATAAACTGTTTTAGTATTACGGCCAAATCTGAGAACACAAGAGATCCTCCAGTTCTCTGCCTCAAATTCTTCTTCCTTTCACTCTCTTATTTTTTACTTTGAGCAGATTTACAAGGAGAGTGACTGGCAGTTCTTTAATGCAGTTCAGACCTCAAGTTGTACAAGAGAGCAGTATTTTCCTCTCAGCCTTCCAAAGAGCCTGGGAGTCCTCCAGCCCCGTACCAAACACACCAGGGCAAACACACGTAAACATGACATACGTCCTATTTGTAGTGATAAATTTGGTTCTGTTCCTATAAAGTTCAGTTAAGAACAAGATGGCCTCCCGCTAAATGGATAATTCGACCAAAAATGAATATTCGGTAATAATTTACTCCCTCACATCGTTTCAAATGTTAATTAATTTCTTCCTTAGTAGCCTACATAAGAAGGTATTTTGAGAAATGTCAAATTTGTTGTTTTGTTGTCACATTTGCAATTTTGCTGACCGATCACTGAGCAATCAATGAAAGTCAATGAAACCCTATTGACTTTCATTGTATTTTTGGGTGACAGATTTTTCATTTTTCAATGAACTAAGTGAACTTTGGCATCACATTATAATGTACAAGGTGAAATTTAGATATCAGCCAATAAACCAATAAAGATCTGCTATATTTTGCATCCCTACACCAAACTAATCAATCCAGTCACAACTTAGCTACAAAATAATACATAAATTGCATACAAAATATGAATTAAAGTATGTAATATATAACAATGTGATTTACTCTATGGCAGACAGTATTTTCTTTATAATGCAGTAGCCATAGAGTATTCAATCCGCTCCTGTAAGATGCTGTATGAATAGGACAATTTCACGACTCATTGTAAATATGCTGTTAATCCAAAACACTGACTTTGTAAACGCAGCCTAGAGGAACTACAGAGCATATTTATTCTCCACTTCTTTCTATCTTAAGTCATTTGAATGTTAACACATGATAAAACACACTGGAGAGAGGCACAGCGAAGGACAGAGTATCTCTTTCGCAATAAAACCTATCCATGCCAAAAAGATACAAGAAAACAGACATGTCTGCGAAAAATTTGATGAAAGTCAAGTGGAGAGTCAAAACACACACATTTTTTCATGTCACTCAAAAGAAATGTTTTCCAATTTGCTCAAGACACAGTTTGTGCTGCCAGTTAAAAAAGAAGAAGCGTAAAAGAAAAACAGTGAAAACAGGGGAAGAGGATTTTGCTTTAACTGATGCATACGTGTAGCCAATGGCTCAGGAGCGTCTCCCATCGCCCATCTGAGCTCTAGAAACACTGAGCAGAAGAGGACTGGGATGGCATTCAGAAGATGATGTAACTCCAACACACAGAAACAGGGCATAACTGCTAATAGCGATGCCAGTTTTATATAAGAGTATTATAAGCATGGCACTGAGCAAAATGCATATAATGAAGCGTGTAAGTACATGAGTGAATGTGGTTTGACAACCGTGTAAGGATGACATTTCACAAAAGAATGTTTATACTAAAAAGGAAGTACACTGTCGCAGGCAATTTAATTTTTCACACGTATAATACAATATAATATAATCAGGGGTGCACATAAGTGGTGTGCATGCACGACTAGGGTTGGGAATCGAAAATCGATTCCGATTCCAGAATCGGATACTTAAGGTCAGGAATCGGATACTTGTTGTCAAAATAAAATTTCGATTCCGCCTATCGATTCCTATGCGCTTTTCTTTTCTTCATCTTTGAGGACCAGACCTAGCAATCTGCCAGGGCCTTGCTCGCTAATCTAAGCGCTCCAAAGTTTGGCTACATTTGCGATCAGAAGCCAAAAAAGCTAAGTATAATATCTGTGATAGCTAAACATGTTGGAAAAGTGGCGTCACCACCAACATGACAAAGCACTTTAATATAATAGATCGTTAAAGATCGTGAACACGATTCAAACACCTACGTGATTCTATTTCTAAATTACAATGATTCGTCTGTTTCATTCCTCAAACTTTAACGTGTGCGATCAATGTTGTGATCACTTGGTTCGTCCCCTTTTGAAAGTAATTTGACACTTCAAATGAAGATTTATCGATTACATTGTTATGCCAGTAGGTGGCGAAAAGGGGCTGTTAAAATGTATTTGTCTTTGAATCATACAAGAGATTCGTTCAAGAACGCTGATTCATCCAGTAATGAAACAAGTACATCTTGAGTTAGTCATTTAATTATTAATTCATAAATACATGTGATTTTGTTTAGTTGTCTAATGTTTTTTCTTTAGAATCATGAGAGAACCACAACTTCCATTGGGGAGAAAAAATAAATAAAAAATTATCCAGAATCATGCAGTTCTATGTTTGAACACAGACAGCTCTTAAAGAGTCCAGTTTTTATGTAGCCTGTTGATTTTTATTCATGGTATTCAGCTCCAATAAATGGTTTGCAAAAAAGAGACACAGGATAAATGTTTGATATCGTTATTTAATCACATTGGAATCGAAAAGAATCTGAATCGATAAGCAGAATCGGAATTGATAAAATTCAAACGACACCCAACCCTATGCACGACTAAAAGAAAAAATGCGATGTATAAATAAACTAGTAAACATTTGAAGTGGATCAAAACCTTTCATCAAAGTTGTCCTAAAACCAAAATGCGTTCTTGTCTTAGGACAACTTTGAAGAACTTTTTTGATCCACTTCAAATGTTGACTACTGTATGTTCAGACCGCTCATTTGCGTACCAACATGTTTGCCAGATGTTAATGCACAATCACTGTTTTAGATCGACTAACTGTAAGACTGTAGAAGATTTACATTC